GAATGAAAGGGGCTGATTTATGCGCACAATGGCAAGACATCTGCATGAGATCCCCATTAACCTTAGTGGCAGACACCTTGGCCCAGGGACAGGTTTTATTTGGAATTGCCATGGCCACAGCATTTACAGTGGTGGCTAAAACACAAAGGACTGGGGCAAATCGGCCCCTGAAGCCTGTAAACTGCAGACTCAGAGAGACTGTGGGAGTTTGTCTAATACAAAACCGACACAGTCATTTCAGATTTTTTTCCTGTTCTATACGTTCATTCCTGTTTTTGCCTCCTACCATCCATAGGAGGAATTACATAACTGTATACTTAAACATAATATAATATAATATAATATAATATAATATAATATAATATAATATAATATAATATAATATAATATAGTTGCCTCTTGGATTTATTTAAGATGATTCATTCAGTCATTCGGGGTTAATGTGCGCTGGTTTGGTAACTTCATGCAGCAGTTCAGACATTCATCGTCGGCCATTAGCGTCTGGCTGATGTCTTGTGCAGGAGTGCTTTGAATTAAGAGATGATGGGGGTGCTGCTGCTGCTGATGATGATGACAAATGCACTTGTTCCAGATAAATGCAATCATTTGGTAATGTAGTATCTAATTTCCTCGAGCTTCGCAGTCTGTTTATTCACCACGCTGGTGGCTAACGCCGTCTTATTTAGTGCAGCTGGGAGTCGGAATTATAGGGGCCCCCGAGAGGAGGCCCACCCAGGGCCGGCTTCCACTTCCTTGAAAGCCCACCTCCCTCCCCATGTGTCAGGAAGGCAGAGCGATTCTCATCAAGATCCTTTACCTCCCCGCGCACCGGCAAAGTCTGCATCACACCATGGCGTCAGTGCTCTTAATTGATCAAAAGACATTTAACAAAACAGAGAAGCAGATGTAACTGTCCTCTCTGCCATTAAGGTTGAGTGCCTGTGAGAGCAGCTGTTCCTCTGGGATCATGTTTACTAGTGTAGTGCTAAAAAACCACCAGTTTCTAAGTGAATCTCCTCACAATTTACAAGAAAACATCATATAAACCGAATAGTTGATCAACTTTAAAATGATTCGCAGTTTGTCACATTAACATCTGCAAGTTTAAGTTCTCAGAGCTTTTCTATTTTATATAAACTGAAGCTGGAATAGAAAATAACGTTAAATTTAGCTGCTTTAAACTCATAGCAGTTGATGCCAAGAAGAAAACAGTCTCCTTGTGATGTGAATTAAATGACAAATGTGATGATGGTCTTTGGATTCATAGGGAGCCGGTGTACATTACTCTTATGTCGCATACGATTCAAGCACCTGCTCACTTGCCTGCTTTAAAAATAGCAACCAAACAGTTTAGTGATAATGACGGGAAAACGGGGTTCGGGCCAAAACATCTGTCTTTTCAGTCTCACCATGTCTATGTGGTAATTGTAGTTTTCTATTTTCTATTTCCTTGAGTGCTCCGAACAGATTTTCTTTTAAAACCTTAAATATATCAAAAAAAAAAAAAAAAAAAGGTTAGTGGACTGATGTGATTTTTTGATAGCTGCAAAGATGGAAGTGTAAATGGGGTAACAGGAATCGGATGCTATCTATAATGGAAAATACATGCTCTGACAGACTGCTTGGGCCGAGTAAAACTAACTATACATATTCTTGAAAGATAGAATCTTAAAAAAAAGGGAGAGAGATGACAGGCCTTTACACACGGTGCTAATGGCAAATTAAATTCCTTCTCAGGAAAGGATATTTGGCAGGGCAAGTGCTGTCTCTCCACTTTGAGGGGTAAAATGCATCCCTTGTTGGAGAATGAATCGTGATGTGGAGAGGCATGCTTTTGGTGACATCAAATGACACTGGAAGGTCAGTGGCACTTGTATCTGTTAAATGGATTGGATTAAGTGGAGGCTGCTGCTTCCTTTCATAATGCAGCTTTTCTTTCTGGGAGGTGGCAAGCATTGGAGGTTCTGTTGTACTCCACCGTTTCACAGAGCGCCGGGAGTGGTGACAGGTGCAAGAAAATGTCTCATGGCATTAAGGGAATTGAAAAGACATTTACTTTACACAATCATTTTTTTTTTTCTGTCACCGCTCTTTGTTTAGTAGGTTTTAGCTACTGCTTGCTACACTACTATTAAAGCTGTTTTCCAGAGGCTGCTTTGGTAGAAGACATCAAACCCGTGTTTGTTCCCCGCAATGGCTTCAAGAAAAAGGCAGCAGTTGAAATGTGCACACTGGTTTCCTGGCAGACATTAGGTGTGCCTTCACAGAAACATCTCTCTCTCTTACAGACAAGCCTCAAGGACCGGGACGTATGCTTGGAGAAATGAATGTCTGACTAACTGCAAACACGGAAGCCGGGTCGCGCTAACACACAGACGGCGTTGTCACTTTAATGATGCTGAGCAGGGTTTTAAGCAACGCGTGCATCCAGTGGCGGGGTTGAGCTGCACACGCTGACTGCAGGATAGGTTAAGCTTTGGCCTTTTCAAACGTGATGTAAAACACACACATGATACGGCTGCGGAGTGTGTGGCGGGCGGTGGTCTCAACCAATTAGAAGCAGTTCTCTGGAGGTGGAGGAACGACCTTTTTGTATAATTAGTTCTCTTATTTAAAGCAAAGATTTTGAGTAGAATAACTAATTAGGTGTCATAAAAGGCAAATTAAAGATTTTTGTGATCCCTGGGGGAATTGCAGCAACTCCTTTCGTTTTCTTTGCACAAGCTCTGGAGCGCACACGCGTGCACATGTACACAGACACACATACACACACACACATATATACAGGCGCGCACACACACACACACACACACACACACACACACACACACACACACACACACGCCGGCATTCGCTCTCTCTCCTCATTAAGACTGTTTTTAGTTCTGTAGAAGCCTGTCAGGCGAGCACTGTTGGCATACCTGCAGAGAGCTCCCCTAACAAGCCATGAAATACAGGTAGAAGAGTCCGCCCTTATCCAGTGTGGCTTGAATTTGAAGCTTTTTAGCTTCATTTACACTGAACATTGGTATTTATAGCAGGTTTTGTGATCCTAATGCGGCAGCTTCAAGGGTTCTGTTTTGGGAAGGGAGGGAGGTGAGGGAGCTGGAGGGCAGGCAGAACGCTAATTGATGGCTCCCATCACCAGCACTGGACCAATTAGCCTCTCCTTTCCACTTCTGATAAAGAAATAAGACGGCTCAACACCACTGGAGCACTTACTGACATATAAACCAAAGCCATAAATTTGACTAACAAGCTCTCCTATTCCTTTCACCTCTTTTTTAAAAGGGGAAATGCTAATTATATTACATTCATAGCAATATTGATGTGGGGATGGCCAAAAATTGCAGAGCAAATCTGGATTCAATAAGGTACTTTGTGAGTCCATTTACATGTGTGTATGCGCATACGAAGGAGACAGAAAGGCAGCGAGAAATGATTTGCTATTCTAAAGAAGTTCTTCTGAAGGGTGGAATAGGGCTTTTTGTGAAAGAGAGTGAACCTGACAGACTTAACTAAGAAAAACAGTGCACAGAGTGAAGCAGTCCCACGTCGCCAGCCGACGCCGTGTTTATCACACAGCCAGCTGCAGAAGTTAAAGCCAAAATGACCGTATTCACGCTTTACACGACTGCCGAGCACGCCGTCGCAACCGCGCATACTTTTCTGCCAAAAAAAAATGCAAACAAAAAGTTTATCCGGCCTGGACAACATGTACCTGTGCACGGCGCTGAAGTGCAGCAGCAGAACAGTGACATTTCATGTAAAACTCTGTGTAATGTCTTTAAAACGGGCCTTTACGGATACCCACACATACAAACCGCTGGTCGAACCCCCTGTGATGCAGAGTGTCCAGTCTTTTTTTTTTTTAGAAAGAGAGAGAGAAATGTGTTTTGAAAGTAGAGTGGCAAGTGGCGTCCACTGTGTGTTCTTTTAGACGGATCAATAGCTCAGTGTGTGAGAGAGTGTCTTAAGAGCTGTTGTCTTGTGCTTTCAGCTGTGGCAGACCTGTTAGTGCTACAGAGGGGAGCTGCGCGCCCCTGCCTCTGTACCAGCAGTGGCCTGAGGGGGGCTTTTAGTCCAAACACAAATGTCAACCACACATAGACTATTAGTGTTTAGTGCAGTTATTAAATGGACTTTATTTGTCCTTTAGGAGGCTAAAAGGCGCACTTAAAGGGGACCTGCGTGACAGCAGGGCAATTTGCGAGTTTGGTAACTTAGGCTCGCTCATTGCAGACACATGAGTACAGATAAGTGTAAAAGGAGGAAAGGCTGTAATGCACTGAGCAGGGAACAGTGTGTGTGTGTGTGTGTGTGTTTGTGGTTTGTGTGCACACGTGCTTGTGTGTGTGTGTGTGTGTGTGTGCGTGAGTCCGTGGCAGTGTGTGTGTCCCTGAGTGTGTCTGGATTGAAACACACACAGTGAGTGTATGCTAAAAGGCACTTAGGCCATAACATATCTCACTGGGGTCTGGTAGCAACGTTTTTGTGGTCAGAGGCTTTTTAAAAGGTTAATGTTAATCTATACCAAACAAAGCCCATGAGGAGCTTTTACAGCTGTGGACAGTTGAGTGAAATGGGCTTTGATGAAATGGTAGGTAACTAACATACTACGCAGCTTGTTGTAAATACCACAGTAGGCAAAACAAACAGTGTGTCTCCTATTCTCAGGAATACATAAGACATGGCCGTGCTCCTGCAGCCCGCTGCCAGTGATCGTGTAACTTTTGTATTACAGCGTGTTCGTAGTGGAACAAGTAAGTCAAGGCTTTGTAGTCCAATGTGACCTGTGTGCCTATCTACATGGAAGAATGTTTTCTTTAATGCATATGAAGCAGGTAGGCAGTGTGCTGTGGCAGTGTGCTGTGGCCGTGTGCGAGGCCAGGCTTAGACGCCTCGAGAAGCAGCCAGCTTATCAAAAAGAGAACATGAAAAGTCACTCGTGTTCCTGGGCCGTAAATCACGCATGGCTGTTTGTCTCCTTATCACTACAGGTGTGCCGATGCTCTCCGTCCAGCCCAAAGGGAAACAGAAGGGGTGTGCTGGCTGCAATCGCAAGATTAAAGACCGCTACCTGCTCAAGGCCCTGGACAAATACTGGCATGAGGACTGTCTCAAATGTGCCTGCTGTGACTGCCGCCTGGGGGAGGTGGGCTCCACCCTCTATACGAAAGCCAACCTCATCCTCTGTCGCAGGGACTACCTGAGGCAAGAAAGACACAATTACCTTTTCTCCACTCACAACAATTAGAAAAGCCGTGCCATTTCATGAGCTGTGTGACTTAAAGGGATCACTACGCCTCTTTGTTTTGTTTTAACCCCCGTCGGTTTGTCGGTGAGCTCACCGTGGCTCCTGAACACAGTTAAAATCAGCCGACGTCATCATTGTGGTAACCATGACTCGGCGCTATGAGTTTGCATCATATTCTTTTTACAGCCTGCATACAGCAGAAGGTAATGCTGGTTTGGGATGCTTGTATTTTGCATAGGCAGGAAAAAAACAAAAAACATTTTGGGAATTTTGGGAGCAGCATTACGCCATATTTTGTATTCCATAAATAATATATAAAAATAATCTGCAAAGCATGAAACACAGTCGTTGTGTTTGGCTGCATCCACAGAATGCAGACATGCAAATAAAATCTATGACAGCAAACTGTTTCTAGCTTTAACTGCTGTTACTGATTGTTTCCTAATAAGTATTAGTTTTATCGTATTAAAGGTGGAGTCTGTGATTCTGGAGAACTATTGCTAACATTCAGACAGTAGCTAACTAGCATCCCTCTCATTCACTGTCTCTCGCCTCGAATAGTGATGTCTGGATCGGTCCGGGTTGTGTGGAAACAGCAGATTTTTATTTATTTCTTTTAATGGACAGACAGCAGACTGTGAGGAGATGTTTCCTGAATCTGGATGAGCAGCTCTGGCTTTAGCTTTAACAGACATGACGCGACCTAAAGATGAAAATCACACTCTGTCGTCGTCGATGAGTCTTTTTTTTTTCTGTGTGTTTACTCGTGTCATGGAGGAGACATGCTCTCAGTTGTACCAGAGCTGTAAGCTGTGAGAAACCTCCAGGCAGGCTTGTTGCTTCTCCAGTGCCACCCCCCACCCCCCTGTCAGATGCCCCTGCCATCTGCTTGTTAAATTAAACATGACCATTTCCTGGGCGTTAGGTCACATTCCCTACCATTTATCCGGGAGGGAATCCCCTTGGGGCCGACTTAGGGATGCCGGTGCCTTACCCCCCCCTACTACCCCCTTTCTCAAAACTGCCTATCCTGCACCGTCCTCCCCCCGCCGCCGCCTCCCCGTGGCCCTTCTGCCTGCTTGTCTTTCAGCTCACCCTCACTCTTATCTCTGACTTACTGACTCGCTTCGGATCCATTTATTATTCTAATTCGAGAGAGTAAATTAAAAAGAGCTTCCTAATTTCAAATCACTGCTAAAAATCCAACGCAAGGAGGCCTTTAATCAGCTTGGTCTTCCTCCTGCCCCACTCACGGCTTCCAATGATATTTCACTTTCATCTCGGCTCTTCTCTGACCTGGAAGAAGCCCGCAGCCCACTTGAGAGGCGCTTAGGGACGTTACGTTGAGATAGGCCATTACCATCCATCAGTCCCCACCCACAGTTAATGCTTTTAAGATGCAGTGAGAGGTCCAGTAAGACCTGATGTTGCCCCCAGAAGGGGCAGATGGTGCAGATGAGGTAATAATAAATGGGCAAATGACCGAGAGAAGGCAAAAATGATGAAGCTCGGAGTTTCGCTTGGTAAAATACATCAGCTGAAAGGATAGCAACCCCAACCCCAAAGTCATGAGGGCCTCACCGGCACGGCGAGGGGAGACGGAGAAGCTTTCCTGCACATTAGACCGGCGAGATGTAGAGGTCAGAGAAGGGATAAAATACGGAGAATGACATATAAAATCAAGAGTAAGGAATACTAAAATAAGAATAAAAAGGGAAGAGGAGTAGAGAGCTTCCTGTGCTCCTGTGCTGCCCCAGATTGTCTAATGAAATCCATCCCACTCGCCTGCTCTTCAGCCTGCGACAAATGCAGAACACTTAATGGCTGAGATGCTTGAGATGAATTCTATTATGGAACAAATTAAAAACCTTGCCTTGCGTATAGAGAAGAGGCAGTTTGAGAGACCAGAGTATTCGAAAGTAGGTGATGCAGCCTCCATCCGGCGCCGGTTTCCTTTTCATTCCTTCTTTTCTGAGCAGTAAGACGAAGGCTCCCCTCACCTGCAGTAATGAAGTTAAATCTGTGCACTGAATTAGCCTCCTGCACTTCATTAAAGACAAGCAGTGGATCAAACACACTTTGGTTATTTCCCAGGGTTTGGAACCCTGCCATGCTCACATTAATTATTATAGGAGCTCCATCTGTGATTGTCCTTCAGTGGCATTAGCAACTTATTGAATGCACTCACACTTTCCCCCAATCTTTCCCTTCAACACACACACACACACACAGGCATCAGAAATGCGCACACACACCTCTGCCAGTGTCCTCCCCTGCCCTTCAAAATCATGCACCAACAAAAAGTTCGGCTCCAATCTACCTGCTCTGTATCAAGAGAGGGTTTTTTTATGAGCAACTTGTTTCATCAAAAAATAAGAAGCAGGAATTAATTAGGCATTTCCTTTATGTCTGGGGCCAAAGGATTTACGACTTCACCAGAGGGTTGACAATATAGTCGTGGTGTGATCATCAGGACTCGGAGCCTGAAATCATTTAATCTTCTATTTCATATACTAGAGAGGACATAATAGTCCTCCACTTATCAAAATTGGGTATAATTAACTGTAAGAGGAAAACGTTTTCAAGATAATGAACATTATAAGTTATCCACAAACCGATGAAATAGCAGGGGGAAGATGATAGCTCCATCTGGATGTGACTGTTTTTCAAATCTGTCCTCTCCTCGCTCCTCTAGGAAGTAAAACAGTTGCTCTTCCTCCGTAACAGTTGCTCTTCTTTTTTTAGGCGAGACGGATCTGAACAGAAAGGTTTACACTTTGAAAAAAGACACAACTGTTGGGGAAGGTCAGAACATGCGATGCATGCATTAACAGCTTTCCCTTTTATGAAATCTGACAAACCCAGAGCAGGCAGGGAAGTCTCAAAGAGCTCAGAGAACAGGTAGAAAACTTCAAGAGCCACAGCCCAATCTGAGGGAAGCAATACAGAGAGGCAGATGATGCACTGTAGGAGCTTTAAGGGGTTTGAAGTTAGCAAAGCAGGAAGTTGAAAGAACTAAAGAAGGCCCTCTTTTCTCTAAAGACCCATTGTAATAACTCAATAACAGAGGAAGGAGAGCCGCTTTACGTTCCTGCGGTCCAACGCTGCTCGCAACATCCCACACCGGCAAACAGAGTTTGGTTTCTAGCGACTGAATCAGAACTCCTTTACAGGTGACAGAGAGCGGGCGGTGGAGACGCCGCCATAGGAGGCCTGTAAGCAGCGGGAAAGTATCTCCAGACGTAACAATGAGCCAACAGAAATTAAGAACCGAAACTGGATTGTTTACAAACCAAGCCAGTAGACATATAATTAGATCTGCGCTACAACAATGGTGACGAGTGATCCAAGTGCTAAAGCCGACAGTCTGAGACAGTCAGAGGGAAACTCAGTGTCTGGTAGATATAATAGAAGTTACCGCTGGAAGTACAGTATGGTCATGAATTAAAATGAAAAACAAATGTGTGAAGAAAACAACAACATTTAGGCCACAATAGTAAAAATGAAATGAACTTGCAGACTGTAAAAAGAATTATACTAAAATATGTATTGCACAGTAAAACAAAATGTGGGTGCAGTAACAGGTATGTTTTAGATGTAGGACAGGTGTGTGCATAAAGAGATGATTTGCTGCTTTACTTGTCGTATAAGAAAGTAAACTAAATATCATTTATTGTGCTGGATCAAACCAGACATGAGAAGCTGCTACTCTAGTTGCAGCCCTACAAACTATTATGAATGAATAATAAAAAAAAAATGTCATATTATATCTGAATACATCAGATAATTAAATTTGAAAAAAAAACACACTCACTTTGACTTTGAATTCTCCTGCACAGAAACCTGCGCCTGAATGTCTCACCGGTTGTGGAGAGCAAATCCAAATCAGCACTCCTAACCCTCTAATCCATTTAAATTTTATTTTTAAAATGAAATTTAAATCATTCATGATGCCTGATCTGTGCAACACGCAGGCTGCAGTGTATTACAGGCAGCTTGGATAATAACATTTTTGAGAAATTTGCCATTTTATTTAAACAGAAAGGCTGAAAAAAAAAAAAAAAAAACAGTGTTGATGTTGATTTTTTTTTCTCCTACTCTGCCTTAGAGAATATTGGTGTATTCAATCCAAATGAGCGGGAAATGGAAGTGCATGAGCCACTGCACACCTACAATGTGGGATATGTGTCAGAACAAAACGCGGGAATTCTTTAGAAAATAGTCCATTCAGACGACAACAACAAAAAAAAATCTATTTTTAATTAAATGAATTCGTGTTTTTCAAAAGCAATTTACAGCTTGTGTTCTCTGAAGGCGTCGTTTCAGTAAAACACCTTTTAACGCCTAAACAGCCATCGTTGGGCTGCTCCACAGATCTCTAATCACAGCTGATAATTGACCTCATCACTGGATTCCATTTCAAAACCTTAAACACACGTACTTTTTGGTTTCTTTGCAGTAACGCGCTGCATCCTCGGCGCTTACATCGAGTTTTGGTGTGAAATTCATTGCTTACTAAACATAGCGTGGCCCCTCAGCTGTTACTCTGCTGCATCGGTGGCTCTTTTTTGGCTGCTTTTAGCTTCACAGGGGCAGGAAGAGAAGAGTGTAATGTGTTTGAACAGTTCTCTCAGGCTGTAATCTCCTCTTAGCACAAGGAGCTCAATTAAGCCATATGTTGATGCCACATTATAACCCAGACACATCAACTGTTGGCTGAAGAACTGTGTGAGTGGGACACAGCCACATCCGGAGCACTCTCCTATAATCCGGCTCTTCTGTGCCAAAACTCTGCCTGTGATTGTAAATCACAAAGCAGATAAGGAAATCAGGTTAGCATGAAAGAAGTGAATTGCTTCATGGCGTGAAGACTATTTAGGTGATTAGGAGGAAGCGGCGTCGGTGAGGAGAACACGCCACAGCGCTGCTTCCAAGGCCCGTGTCATCGTTCTGTGCTATTTCTAGAATATTTAGTTTCCTCACAGACCCAGGGTGTGGAGTTTGAAAGATGTGGGCGTTTACCAGACACAGAGGTTATAAATTTGTAGTTTCCAATACCAAGCTCAAATAAGCCTCATAATAAAGCCGGAAAGAGGTTATACCCACAGTATTTGAATTATTGGTTTGCAGAGAATATAGAGCTGCGAGGTAAGAAAAAAAAAAAAAACTGGCCACAGATGTGAGACACTGCTTTGACTGAAGGTAGAACTTAGTGTCAGCAGCAAGCTGGGCTTCCCCACCAGGCGTTTTCACAACCTGTATGTATCAACTGAGCACCATGTCTGCAGCCCAGCAGGGCGTAATGGAGATGGGTTAGAATAATCCTAGGAGCTGTTATAGGTGTGTGCCAGTCAGCCTGTGAGAGTGACCGAGGCTCTCTGGGCTCTTTCACTCGCTCGCTTCCCCGGGGGAGAGAAAAGGACATCGCTGCGTGAATTAACCTTCACTTAATCCAAGTTTGGAGACTGAAAAACTCGTAGTTGTTGGTTTTTGTGCAAGAAAAAACTCCAAATACAAACGCTGGAATATATTGATAACAAGGTGGGTTTGTGATATTTGGTGTGTTTTGGATCAATACTGAATGTGTCGGGTTTTTATTTTTTGTAGATAAGCTAAAGTCTTTGTGTCTCCCTGTGAACACACACATGTCGGTGCCACAGAGCGCCCTGTGGGTGGCAGATGTCGACTGTACGAGGACATTCGGTTTCTCACTGAAACAGTAACCAGTTGTAACAATGTCTCAGTTTAACACCCCGTGAATCCCTCTCATGGAACATAACAACCTTTCTCCCTCTGTTTCTGTCTCTCCTGCTCCTCTGGGGCAGTGGCCCCTAATTAGAAGCAGAGCTGCTGGATAGACATTTTCTTTAACAAGGTGAAAGCAACTGAATGGGACTAGCATAAACGAGGCAGAATATCAACACTGCGACTCCTCCGTCTGAGCTCTACAAGTTTTGGGGGGGAAGAGTGTTTAACATACTGTTGGAATGACAATCTGCTGTTGCCTTATCCCCTCTTGCAAAGCTGTGAAGCGGTCCTTCTCCTGCTGCAGAATATATAAATCTATCTGTGCCTCAGAATCTCCAAATTAAACATAGAGGCAGGCGCTTGGAAAATGAAAATGTAAATCTGACTGGGAAAAGCATTTGAGGTTCCTTTGCTTTGAGGAAAGAAAGAGATCTACACCAGCGCCTTCTTGCTGTGTTTGTGACCTTTATCATTTGGCTCCTATTTAATAAGCCCTAAACAAGCTGCAGAGAGTCTGTTCACCGTGAAACATTTAGTTAACTCTTCAAGGTTACATCCGCCGTCACTGTTCCAGGTTCTTCTCTGAATGAAAGAGGACGCCGGCGAGAGACAGACAGACAGACAGACAGACAGCCAGAGGAGGGATTGAGCGTGAATCCTTGCAGCGGAAATCTTTTTGAACTTATGACTACATTATAGAACGTAGCCTCTGTGTAAAAATCCAGCCGGCTTTGGTCGGAGACAGACTCATTAGGTGTTTTAGTTTTTGAAAGACGAAAACTTTCAGCGGTTCAAATGGTTTGCCTCGGACCTGTTTTCATTGCTTTCGCAGCGTTCAAGTGGGGAAATTCTTTGAAGAAGGAGATTAAAACCATGTGATCATTTTAATGAGATCATTAGCCAAGAATTAAGATCTATGTTTGTAACTCTCATTAACAAAAATACCAACCGAATGCCAGGAAAGATTTTTTTTACATCCTGCATATTTTTGATTTGGGTCCGTTTCCTCTTTCTTTCCACTGCGGCTCTTTTTTTTTTCTTTGCTGTTGTTCTTTCTGTCACTTTGCTACGTTTTTGTTTGCTCTCTTATTGCATCAAGGTAAAGGGAAGGTGGGTTAATCTCTGCCTGTGCTCTCTGTCTTTCAGGCTCTTTGGTACAACAGGGAACTGTGCTGCCTGCAGTAAACTGATCCCAGCCTTTGAAATGGTGATGAGAGCCAGAGATAATGTTTACCATTTGGACTGTTTTGCCTGTCAGCTTTGTAACCAGAGGTAAGAATGGGGGATCGCACACAACAGCATCGCCTTTTTTTTAAGCGCTAAAACGGCCGGTCGCTTAAATATTAGTGACTCATTGGTGCAACTGAAATTATATCTTCTAGTACGTTTTAATAGCGCTCTATTGCAAACCACAGGTTGCAAAAAAATCAAACTGTCGTTGTCCTGTTGTGTTGTAGGAATAAAGGTTGCTTTACTGCATGTGCAATGCCCCGCTAATTATTTTCTATTATGACACACTGCCAGCCAATTTGTCCTCGTTTGTGCCTAAATCTGTAAATCTTTTAAGCCAGCGGGATGTAAAATTAGCTCTTTTTCTTATGTGTCCAGGAGGTTAAAAAAAAAAACCTCCTCCAGAGGTGTGCATGAGGGAGAAAAGACCCACATCGGTGTGAAATGATGTTTCCTAAGGGAGAGGAACTATTATGAAATTGGAGAGAGCACAAAGCCTATGCTGTGATGTACATAGAATATGACATACCCAAATATTGCTTTTTCCCATTAATATACTGTCAGTAATGGCACCACTCTGAGAGCAGAACGTCCTTTGCATGCTTGTCAGGGGTGCTGTGACCCTGTTCCTCCACACAGCACAAGCCCATTAACCTTCTGCAGGCCAGATTCAGTTACCATAGTGAACACCTGCTGTAAGGGAATTATGACTGCAGTCTCTCTTCTCAGCTGGCAGACACGAAGCCAGGTCTCATCTGGCATAGCATTGCCATGGCTGTGACTGTTACCAGCTTTATTTACTGTGTTACCAGCCTGGCACATCACTAAAGCCAAGCTATTTTCAGCTATATTCTTATCTTCGCTCCCCTTCAGTCACATTATGGAGCTGTGTCCACTGTCACACAAACAAACAGCAGCATAGAGGAGGAGAACATCAGCAGGGCAGGCTGCTGCGTGTTATTCTCCCTCTTCAATTGGCTCTGAGACTTTAGAGGGAAAAATGTTCTGGAGCACTGGAACCAAACTGCTAACCCCGTAGCAGAGTTTCCTTGGAAACTCTGGCGGCGCCACCGCGGCTTTTGCCAGGCCGGAGAGAGCTGACCTGCCTTTCACTGGGTGCCAGCGCTCGTGTCCGTTTGCTTTGAACCAGGATAGCTTTTTAATCTACTTCTATTTGAAGCCGCACATTTATGATGACCATCAAAACGGGCTCCGAGTGCGCCGAGGCACGGCGTCGGCGTGCGCGAGCCAAATGTGCGCAATCAAATGAAACCGTCGTTACCTACTGATCTTAAATGCGACGCCTCTAACTGCCAGAGCCGGACGGAGTCGGCCGGGCGGCGGCTTTGTCAGGACGCCAGCGCTAATCGTCTTTGTGCTTCTAACGGCGGCTTTTGTCTTGTGTTTGTGTCTGCCAACAGGTTTTGCGTGGGGGACAAGTTTTTCCTTAAAAACAACATGATTTTGTGTCAAATGGACTATGAGGAGGGCCAGCTGAACGGCAGCTTTGAGACACAGGTTCAATAGTTGGAACCTCACGGCAGCAACAGTCGGCTCCACACTTTACACAGAAAGATGGATGTTCTGCTGCACTTGGAAAAAAGACAAGCGTCTGTCTGCTTGCCTGCAATACTTTTTAAGACCCCTTTATCAGTCCCTAAGGACTCTATTGTACATGTTCATCTTTTTGCCCCTCCCACACCCCAACACTGAGCAGTTACAGATTTTGATGTACAGTTGTGCCTGCTTAGCTGAGCACTGTATTGCTTGTATGTTTTGTGAAATTTGTTTCAGGTTTGTTTTCTGTTTCTTTTAGAAATGGTTCACTGGAGGGTATGTACAGTCTGTTTTCTCTGTATATATAAACTGGAACATTTATTTTATGAAATGTAATGCAATTTTATTACTAGTGTGAATTAAAGATTCTTAAATGTTCATAGTGAGTTTTTTTCTCTTACCAAAACCAAAGTTGTTGGAGGAGGTTTAAGCCCATGTGTTGATATGTAATCATGTATCCAGAAAACTGCAATGCCATGAAAAAAAAAAAGAGAAAAAAAAAAAGCCTTGCAAGAGAAAAATATATTTGAAGTCCTCTTTAAAACATGATGCAACAAAACAAGTTTTATTACATTTTGCAGAGTTCTGATGGAATTAGAAATGCTGTTTAAAATGAACTAAATAAGATTTTATTTGGAATAAAAGAATGCTTCTCCAAAACTGTGTTGTTGTGAGCGTGCAGGTGTCATGAAAGGGAGTGAGATAAGCCGGGCTGCTCTCTGTGATTCATGCTTCACTAATTGCCATCTGATTATGAGGGTGAATTGGCCTGGAAATGAAATGCAACAGCAAATAAATTAGAGAGAAAATAAATGCTCATTGAGTTTTGAGCTCATTCAAACTCATCAGCGACAGAAGTGCGGCGCTGTATTAAAAAAATCCTTTTCCCAGAAGACTGGGTTAATGGAGACGTGTGACGCTGTCTGTTTATCTGATGAGGTTATATCTGATGCACACACACACCAGGAGCCGACGACGCACCACGTCTGGTAGAGCTGTCAAATATTCGGCTGATCCGTCAAGTAATAATCCACTTCAGTGACTTCTCTTATTACACGTAGCTGAATGAATTGATCTCTATATTAGAGAAAATGATAGCAGGTACCAATAAATGAAGATTATTCGCAGCAGGTAACCCGATATCGGTGATAAACAGCCATATAGGAGGATTAATTAGAGCGCTGCAGCCATAACCAGTCGTTCATTTCAGTTTATTATTTCACTGGTCTGCACCCAGTTTGGTGTCAAAGTTCTCTGAGCTGGTTTTGGACCATTTCAATGAGCTGAATCCAAACATCACACTGGTTTTGCTCAATGAGGTCAAATTTTGATGCACTTTTTTTTACATTTTTGTGCACATGTACGGGTATCTGTGCTTTGAATCGTACAAAATTATTTTTCTATTTCCTGAAATGAACAAATTCTGAAACCTTTACAAGTTGATGCTGTAAATATTTGCAAGTGAATTAAATTTAGATGGAAAGTTTAGCCCCTGGTTTATGAGCAACACATTAGAGTCACGTGATTTTATCTGAGTGAACGCCGCCGGATGGTGTGATCATAATTTTAGTTGCAGTTTATGATAGTTTTCTCTGCTTCAATATTGTTTTATATTTAGTGTTCTTTCCCTCAATACATACATTGAAAACAAACGGCTTCGGCCAGAAGGGCTTGTAGAAATACGCCTGATGTCTTCATCTGTGGTGAATACGCTCTGGTTGCAAACAGATACCCACTCACCAACTTCATAAAACCTGCTTTTCATGCTTATTTTGGCATGAAGCTAATCGCTAATGTCAAAGAATGTATTCGATTTAGTGGCAAAATCGATTTTTTAAAAATCGAGTTGGCATAAAAACCTGACCGATACAGGAAAGCTGACGTCGTTTTTGGATTCAGGGTTACAAAAATGTCCAAAATCAGTTTAAAACAAAATCCTGGACACCTTAAAAAAATATTTTTTTTGTAACCCAGTGGTACTAAATATAGTTTATAATACTGAGCAGAATTTTAGAATTAATTCTGGAGCAAATATGAACAAATTCTGATAATCTTACTATTGCCATCATGTAACTATTAGCACAATTTAAATCATCTATTTACCTTCTAGCTCGGTACCAAGTAACATTCATGGGGCGTGCACAGAGGTCACCAGATTTTAATTTCACTCCGGTATAAAGATATCACACGTTACCAGACCTCGTATTCGTCAGAGAAACAAAAAGGTTTGGCCGGCGCTCATTCAGTGGGAGGATTCCTCTCACCAGTCTGTGCTGAAACACAAGCTGCTCGTCCATTTGCGATTGATGTACGTTTGACGTAAAGGCCCCAGATATAGCCGTACAATCCTAAAAAAAATAAATTAAGACACGCAGGTTGGCTAAATGTGGTTCAGCTGAACGAGCCTTTCATACGTCTCATCTCCACCACCGTTAGCATCCAGCACAGCATCACTTCCTCCTTTTTTTGGGGGCAAACTTCAGATTTCAGCTCAGGTGTGACATTCTGTAGGCACTCTCCGAGCAGCAGGACACAGAACAGCAATATAATTTGCTAACACATAAATCAAGTGTGCAAAGAGCATTAATTAGAAATTCATTAAAAATTCAGACTCACCGGCAGGTGTGCAAATAAAGGATTAGGTAGACATCAATTATACCACATAAGAGAACATTTTAATTGCAATTCCTGGATTGATTTACAGAGGGAAACAATCAGGCTCCACGCAATATGGCTGATTGCTCATTTTCCCCCAAAATAATGAGGAAAAGCCCCCTCACCAGGTAACCGTCCTCAGCTGTAGGTTCATGCACACATATACAGACTGAATGTTGTAAAGGCATGCACATCTATCCATCTATCTATCCATTGATCCATCTATCTATCTATCTATCTATCGTGTGCACATGCTCACAATGCACATTTCTCTTCGCTCATATAAAACACACGACATGCTCACAGACGCTATTAAGACTCATACACACAAAGAATTACAAAACAAGACACACACACACACACACACTCGGGGACATACTCACACACATAAATACACATGCACTGCAGCTTGGCATTCCCATCTGCTTGTGTTGGTGGAGAAGTTCTTAAGCACCAAATGTTGCGCTGTTATGACTCAAGTTTGTGAATTCTCCAACCTCCTCTGTGTTCCTGATTACTGCATTATGGCATCTGCTTAATTAGCTTGGCTGGTGTCATATGTTGCACACGAGGGGGTGTTAAAAAGTGCCCTTCCCTCTTGCTCATTATCTGCCTCGATTCATGTGATGTATAATCTCTCTTGACAGGCATTCATATTGACATAGGGACAGCTGTCAGCGGCGCGCGGTCATAAAGGGTGCACGTATAGAACGGAAACCACAAGGAGAGCAGATAAGTGGAGAGACTGCCAAGATCCTAAATGAAAACTAGCGATTCCTCGTTTCATTCTGGATCCATCGGCTCTGCAACACTTCTAATTATACGGAATTTAATTTTATGGTTGAGAGTTTTTTGGGAGCGGGAACTGATAGTAGGCTATGCATTCTGATTACTACAGGTAATATTCAAAACTAACCTCCTGCCAGTGTGTTTTCTAAATTAGCGCGGTGTCCGACTCTTGGCGAGGAATCAACCTCATTACTGCCATATGGGAAATCCTAATCATTATCCGCAAAACAGTTTTGGACAATCAGTTAAATCCCAACAACTTTCTTGGTGGAGGAAAGAGCTCGAGGATTGGAAGGATATTTGTTCTGTGTCGGAATACAAAAGTGTTGCTGTGCTACAGTGATGTCAGGGTTTACTGCCACCACACAACACGAGTCAACAGATCTACAAAGTTTGTACCATTCAGCGCCAACGTTTTGTGTTTCTACAGTGTGTGCTCAGGATAACTATAGTCTGGATAAAGTAAACTCAATCTGGTTACGACCAAATGAACTGCAGTTAAGCTACGGTTAACTGAAAGATCAATGTTATGGTTAAAAAACATAAATAGTCATGAGGTGTGACGTGGGAAGAAAACTCTGATCTACCAGCTCTGATCAAGTTTAGACGAGCTACAAACTCGACAACCGTCCAGAACCTGTTGGCCTTCAGTTTACACGTTACTGCAGCACAAAATTAGAATAATAAAACTCTGTTGTGCATGTGTTGGTTCACAATCAGAGTCAAAACAACAATTTCATGACTAGAATTATTCCAGTGCAACGTGGGTTCATGACGTAAGAGTTTTCTCTCTGAACAGTCGTCGAAAAAGCGACGGTCGGTGTAAACAGTCTATCGAACGCCCACATTTCAACCATATTACGCAATAATGAAGAATTTCATTCTTCTATGCAGCAACAATAATCATTCTGGAGGCTACAAAACAACAACAACAACAACAACATATCTGAGGAGGGGGCGCAATAAGAGAAACAGGCAGGAATCGTACCTTCCTCGTCTTTGTTAATCAGCGTCATAAGATATCGACTGTTTCAGAGTAAAAATACACCACAGGGTCAAAACTGTCGATATTGAGATGGCATTTTCTACCGTTGGAGGAGTCTAAGCATTAATTCCTACGCAGGTGGGCTGCAGCAGGAAGAGCATCTTCTTATTCTACATTAACTTATCAGAACCAGAACCAGATTCATTGGCAGGTATAGTTCACACAATACCAGGAGTTTGTTCTGGTGCAACAATCCAACTGCTCCCAGTACAAGAAGCTTCCTGTTGACAGCACGCAGCCCAAACAGCTCCACGTTCAGACGTTTTCTATGAAACATTAAATGCAATTACGTCCTCTAGTAGACTTTTGCAGCTAATGCAATATGAGTTTAAAGATCGAAATCAAACTACAGCAAAGAAAAGGATCAAAATAATTACGGCAGTTTGTGTTTTGTGACATAAAAAAGAACGAATGTCACCCAGTTTTGAACTAGAACGTCAGTGTAAGATAAAAAAAAATACAATTTGAAATCTATAATTTACATAAACCATCATGTTTCAGAGACAAAGCATGTTTTTTTTTAGCACAGTTATGTAACATAAGTGAAAATATGTGCAGAGATTCTAACTGTGGTCAACTGATTATTTTTCCCCTTGACAAAAACAAAAAAAAAAGATTTTCACAACCACTCAGAAACTCCAACATATGTTCCATTGATTCCTAATGGGGCTGCCTGTGCTGCGCGCAAGAGACTGCAGAGGGCAATTAGCTACACGTGGCTTTGATTAGCGCCGATTCCACAACAGCGCTGGAAGGTGTGCAGAAAACAAAATGCTAAATTACTGCCGAAGCTCTTTGTGACAGAACGGCAATAAAATGGAAGAAACTATTTAAATTCATGGTAATAACAGGTAAATGTGAACATGTTAACTATAGCATGGTGCCCGTGGCTA